CAGACTTCCCCAGCCAGCCAAGTCTGGGAGTTGAAGTCCACACATCTTAAAGTTGCCAAGGCTGAGAAACACTGGTCTATAGTCTATGCTGGGTTGAGGCTAAAAATAAATCTCATAAACAAATACACATACATACAGTACATACATCAGAGGCCTCTACTGAGAGTACCTGAACTCAGAGATTGCTCTCACCATCAACTCAGCAGCAGGCAACCTCATTTTGGATTGCTTCCAACTCTTTTTCTATGTGTGCCAAGCTATCATATGCATTCCTAACCATTTTTCTTCTAAAGATCCCGAGTCTGAGTGGTGTGGCTTTCATGATGCATACCTTACTGTGGAAAAGGGCAGCGATGCCTTGATTCCGTGCTTGATCGCTGACCCAGGATTCACAGGCAACATGACCCTCCTTAAAGACCTGCCTCCAATTCAGCGGATCTCAGAAGTCTCGTTCAGTCCTAAGGAGGGGATATGGATTCACAAAGTAGACCTGAATGATAAAGGGTGGTACAAGTGTCAGGCCCAGGTTCAAGGAAAATGGGTGACTTCACCCATATTTGCCCTTTCTGTCCAAGGTAGGTTGGCATTGCTCTTTTGTTACTATTTGTCAGGCCCAGCCCAAGAATGACAACAAGGCAGTCCAGTCCAGTCCAGTTCCTTTATTAGCTTGCACCTAATAGACAGACTCTCGCCAGACTAAACCTATACCAAAGCAACCAGTGGCTATACCTCATGAGACTCTAGGGAGGGGCCAGCCTCAGCTTCTTCACCTTCTCATGATCCTGCTGCAGGCTGAGGAAGCGCTTGCTCAGGAATTGTCAGGTTCAGCCCAAGGAACTCCATGAGACAGTACAGATACAGCTCTGTTGCATTTATTAGCTTCCATCTCAAAGACAGAAATCTCTCCAAACTGAATCTAACTCCCCAAGCCAGCAAGCCAAAACACCATGAATTCCTTAGGGTGGTGCCAGTCTCATCTTCTTAACCTTCCCACGCTTCTGTTGGGGGCTAAGGGAATGCTTATCTCCTTGAGCGCGGCCTTCATCAAACCATTCCTTCACAGGAATGCTCCCCCTTCCTCCTGATAACCTTGATCCTCCATTCCAGGGTCCTCCTCGCACATGCCTTCCATTATACAACCTGAATGTGTGTTTTCAAGCCTTTCTGGGACAGTTGTTCTGACAGCACTTGGAATGCTAGAAAAGGCATCCCAGATTGCATGTTGTTTACTTTTTCAACTTGGAGAAGTGATTCCAAATTCTATAGACTCATTTTGGCTGTGCTATATTGGACCAATATAAATAAACAAAGAACAAATATCCTTATAGGTAGGATCATGGATAGCTGCTTCAGTACAATATTTGTTCTTTGCTGTCTCTGCCAAACTGGTCTGCAGCATGCTAAGGTAAAATGGGGACCCCCCTCCATGAAAAAACAGGATAACTTCTCATCCCAGAGATGCTGAAAAGTACATTGTGTCAAAGCTTTGCTGAAAAAGATGCTAAAAGAGTGAGGAGCTTAAAGAAACGCACTGTCCTGAAGCAGAAATAGCAAAGGGATAGCATAAGAAAAGATGAAGAAAGATGTTAGATTTCTTTTCCTGACAAGGCTTCCAGCTCAGCCTGTATTTAATAGATTTTTCTGGCTTTCCTTAGAAAACGATAACCCTTTGACAGTCACTATTAGAGGAATGGTGGACCATGTGCGGTTACAAGGAGAACCATTCAACATTTCCTGCACAGTGCGTCACCACTCCCCTGACTATGAGGTCCAATGGATCTATCCCCCTACTGCAAACGTAAGTCATTTCTAATGGCTTTAGACGTGAGTCTTAGCTTGCATGGTTTGCCTTGAATGAGCTCAGAGAAACTTGTTGCTTGCACAAGCCAGTTCACGCAAGGACTTAGGCCTGTCTTCCAGATGTGTTGAATGACAATGTCTACCATCCCTAACCATCATGCCATTCATGAGCATCAAGTGACTTAATGTGTGTTGTGATGTTGCAATGAAAACTCTGCTCCTTACATATTTGAGTGCAACATTGTGACCCAAATAGAAAAGGGCAGAGCTTTTGGCATCATCATGGCTAGGTGCAGGCCCCACGATGCCATTTACTGGTTGGGGTGATGGGAGTTGTAGTCCTGAGGGAATCAAATTGAAGAAGGCTGCTCCAGCTGCATGCTGTTGCACATTAACCTTGCAGATCTCCAATCTGTTTTGCTTTCGCATCCTCATCATTTTGCACAGGTCGTCTCTTAGCAATTTCATTACAAGGTATGCCTATTGTCTTGAATCTTCAAACCGCCTTGAAACCTCATTCATTTCCAGTAAACGAGAATGAGAGGCAGAAGCGGAAGCGGAAGCAGCCAAGGGATATTTGCTTATCAAATGGATATACTGCTGAATCTTATGTCTTTGTTTTCTACCTACTTTAATGGGCTCGTAAAGCAGTTTTCTGGTGACTAATGCAGTTTTGTACACCATTGTCCCCATGGCCTGTTATCTAGGAACTAGCATAATCTTAAATATATATGAATCACTAAGTAATATGAAGAACTGGGATTAACAAACAGTAAATGGAGGACCAGTGGTTTCTCAGCCCTATTCAAGGATAAGCCCTGAAATTTGGAAAATATTTAATTGGAGATAATGACAATGAGGACAAAGAGCTCATATTTCCAAATCAGCCAAATAATATCTGCCTTTTCTTACCACAGGCCAGCTTGAATCTATCGGATTTGGATACTGGATTATCTCAGTCATACATCACTGACTACAACCTATTCATTCCAGCAGTGCAGTTACAAGACAGTGGAAAATATACTTGTCTTGGAAACTCTATAGATTTATCCAGAAATTGTTCGGCTACCCTCAAGGTGCTAGGTAGGTAAGAATACAGAGAAAACCTCCTCCCCCAGCCATGAAACAGATTCTGTGTATCCAAAACACCACCCCGGTTTATTAGTGGGGTTGTCTTCATTCCGTTTCGGTGTGGTTTTTACATTGAGTTAGCTGAGTGGAGTGCTTATACTGTATGAGCAGAAATGTGGGGTATCAATTAAATAAATCAGATATGAATAAAATGCAACACATGAGAAGAATGTTGAGGAAGGTTACCAAAGGTTATCTGCCATTTAGTATCCTAATTTCTCAGGAAGTTTAGATTTAGGTTTAGGTTTAGATTTTTTTTATCCCGCCTTTCTTGTTTTTACAAATAGTTCAAGGCAGCAAACATACCTAATACTCCTTCCTCTTCCTATTTTCCCCACCACAACAACCCTGTGAGGTGAGATACATAATAAAGACAGCAATTCTTAATATTTTCCAGAATATATATATATATGTTCTATAAGAACGTTTATGCTTCAAGAAAAATATGCAACTATAAAATCACAACTTAACTTAAAATTCCTAGTTTCGTCTGATTAATTAGTATGACTACTACAATGTTTTCAGATGAAATGTAGCATTGCTTTATACTCTTTTTTAAAATTCATCAAGTTAAGAATAATATTTCTAATACTTTCAGAAATGCATGTTTTAAGGACATAGAAGGCAAGATACCTTCTTTTTCCAGGTCCCATATTTCCATTCATACCTCTCCACCATTTTGAATAGCAAGGCTTCTGGGGTAATTCAGCCTCCTTGCCCCTACTGAATCTTGTTGCTCCCTGAAAAATCCAGTATCAGTGCTTAAGTCCGACACATTTATGACCGACTTGTCTGCCTTCCTGATACACCTAAGAGAAATCAAAAGCTAAGAAACTGCCATCTGTAAAGAAGAACTTGGTGATCCACAGCTGAATGTTTGAGCTGGTTACTTCCACTGAACAACCCCAGAAATATAAAGTTCGTACTCTGTCCCAGTCCTTTCCTCAGTTCATGTTTATTTCTTTGTTTTGTAAGCCTGTAAATAGGAATTGTCCTTCTACTGGATTTTGTAAGCCACCCCATAAGCCACTTTGGGGGTTAAAGTTCAGATAAGAACTCTTCAGATCAGTTTTCCCTAACAGGGTGCCTTCCCACTGTATTGGCCTATAATTTACATGGGATTGTGGGAGTCAGTCCAATACATTTCAAGGCCACCAGGATGAGGACAGTGAATGGCATGAAGTCCTGCTGGTGGGATTTTTACAATTCTGGAGACAAAAGTCACCATTTGCTGTGGCAGTTAATGAATCACAGGCATGCATCACATAGCATCATGATTGCTGTTTGTGAATATTGCAAGAATTACTTGGTGTTTGGTCTGCCCTTCAAAATATATATGCCTCTTACAAATATTGACCCTCATTAGACAGAGTTTCAGTAAACCATCAATTCTTTGGCTCTTCCATACAATATGCCAAGTTCCTAGAAATCACTTCTGTGATTCCCTGCAAGTCCAAACCAAATAAATTCTAGCCAGTTTCCCCCTCTGCAGTCCAAACAGACTCTTTGATCATTTCTGAGGAACTGAATTGAAGAAAGGGGATGACAGCTTTAAGCAAAACTTAATTTTTGCTTTGGAATGCTGCTGTTTTGCTGCTGGGATCCTCAGTGATTATGATCATTATACCTTCCACAATGGAGAACTCTACTAAGAGCCCACCTACTTTCCTCAAGAGAAAGACTTTTCCCTTCACTTCCCTATGGATTAACTTCATACTTTGCTTTCCAGAGAAAGGGTATCTGCGTTTGTCCACAGTGCAGAACAGGATTCAGGAGACAAACTTGCATCAAAGCCTGAACCTTCAGGTGTTCATTGACGCTTATCCTAGACCTTCAACATATAGATGGATACGTGTGAACTCATCAGGAAATTCCAAATACATCAGCCACATGAGTTTTGGCCATCACAGGCAAGGAATAAATAGTGTCTTCCCTTTCCTCAGGGTTTTTTTCAAATTACAGTTCTGTTGCCAGTTTGGGTGCAGTCCTAACTTAGCTTTCTGGGAGAGGAAGACTGTCAGATGAAGTTGCCTCATACAATTGCAGCAAAGCCAGCATCTCATAGGCATATTTGTTGTGTTTTATTGCAATTTTTCTCTGAGGAGGTCAGAGATGGATATTAGATTCCACAAAGCCTTTCAGAGTAGAACGGGATAAAAGGCAGAAACTTGCACATAAAGCCACCCAAGGAATTTCCTGATTGAACCAGGAAGAATTTGAATCTGGATTTCCCATACTGATGCATGACTATATGAAAAATCTCAGACCTCCTGCCTCTTTGAGATCCAAATCTCATTGGGTCAATGTATCTTCAAAGTTCATGTGATTTGCTGTTCAGAGTTGGATCTGTAATTTGTGAGCCGATCACAGTAATGCACTAACTTACCCTGGCTTGTGGGATGCTTCAAGGGTCAGTCTTGTCTCCTCTGCTTTTTAGCATCTACGCGAAGCACTGAGAGGGGTAATTCAAGGGTTCAGTTTGCAGTATCGTCCATATGTGATGATACCCAGTTGTAGATCACTAGCCCAGGTCATGAGGGAGATGCTGTCAATTTCCTTTCCCGGTGCTTGGAGGCTGTCAAGGTCTGGATGGGATAGAACAAACTGAAGGTGGGCCCTGGCAAGTCAGGATCCTTTGTCACTACCAGAGGTATTCCTTGATGGGCAAGCACTCCCCATCAGGAAGCAGGTCTGCGACTTGGGGGTCCTTCTGGACTCACGGCTCTTGTTGGCCAGAGGGGCCTATGCCCAGCTCCAGTTGGTGCGCCAAGTGTGGCCTTACCTGGGGCAGGAGAACCTAGCTATGCATGCTGTCATTACCACCCAGCTGAACTAGTGCAATTCACTTTACATGGGACTGCCCTTAAAGAGTATTTGGAAACTGCAGTTGGTCCAAAATGCAGTGGATGCATTTTGTTTCAGGCTCCAACATTGGGAGCGCATAACACCAGTTTTGCAGCCCCTGCATTGTTTGCCATTTGATTTCCTTGCCTAATTGAAAGTACCGATGCTATTCATGGCTTGTCACCCAGATGCTTTCAGAACTGCCTTCTCCAGCCAGTTTTGGCTCAACCAGTTAGATCTGCCAGGAAGAAGCTGCTGCAAATCCCAGTACTGTGTGCCATGTATTGAATAGTGACAGGTGAGATGGTTGTTTAATAAGCAACTTAGACATTATTTGAATTATGCTTTCTTTCCTATTTCTGCTCAGTGTATTTTTGGAAAGCTAGCATACCTCATGATAAAGCTTACAAAACAACCATCTGTCACTATGGAGAACTTGAGTAACAATTGCTTCTGAACATTTTTTACACGTATATTTGTTTCTCTCTTTTGGCAGACACAACAATACACTCACGCTGAATTGGATGGAGGAAAAAGACAGCGGCGAATACATATTTTTTGCAGATAATGGGGCAGCCAATGCATCTATTCATTTTGGCATCTCTGTGAAAAGTACGTCCTGTACTTCTCATTTTCTGTAACGGTATGTGGGAATGATCTTGGGAGACAGGGAGAAGAGATGTGGCCAAGGGAACGGTCAGATAAAAGGCAACTTAGCCCACAGCAGGAATGTGGGCAGGACAAGAGGCTCAAAAGAGACCCTCCCTAGTCTCTTGGACTATAAAGGGGATGGGTGGAGAAATGTACTTTCAGAGTTCCAGGATTCTGTTGATATAATCATAAAGTAGAATTAGCTCATCTGGCCATGCTTTCTGTCTGGTCTACCTTGCAAGGCTGACATTTTCCAAACTAGAAGACTAGAAAACTCAAAAGCTATACCAAAACCTTTCTAAGGGAAATCCAGTTACCCTTAAAGCCAAACATATCCAAGGTAGCTCTTAACTCTATCTGATCTCAAGGTAGGTGAGCAAAAGGAAGTTGTCTTCTTTTTTGTGGCAAAGCAAAAACTAGCTATAATTCTACAGTCTTATGACTGTTGACAGGGTCCTAGAACTAATCCTGAATTCTTATCAGAAGTAACCTTTCCTAGTCAGGATTGAATCAATTCATTCAGATGGAAAATAATTTGACTTTGTGCCCCTGCATAGAAAAAGCAATGGGCAGTTAAGTTGCAAAGAGCATGCCTGTTAATGTCTTTGAGTTACTGCAAGTTCCATTTTTTCAGTGCGCTACCATTTTGGTGCTACCAATAGTGAGGTTTGAAATGAAGAAAATATGCTGCTGTCTGCTATCTTTAATAGTTCCCTTGTATTTGCTGTTTAGCTAAACCAAAAGTTACAATGTTGGCCAACATTTCCAATAGTCTTCAGTGTGAAGCATCTGGCTATCCTGCTCCACATATTCAGTGGTACAAATTGTCCCACCATGACAGGTGAGTTAACCGAATTACAGCACAAGCCAATGGATCTCCACTCAAATATGTCTGCTGAAATCAATCAGACTTAAGGGTGTAACAGCACTGCAGCTGTCATACACCACTTGGATTTTCATTATGGAACTAATTCATCTCAGTTCTCATTATTTTTCATAACTATAATGAAGGAGACCCATTGGAATGATTTGGTTGTTTTGATTTTGTTTTCTTTTAAAATACAACTCCCCAGTATGTAATCTCTGAAGTAGTTGATTTGCATTGAATTAAAATTATATTATAGTTGAGACAATCAATGAAAGAGAAAAGGGTATAGGGAAGGAATGGGTTTATGATAGCTGATTGCCATAAGAAACTGCTGCTAATTTCTAGATTGCTCTTATTTGTGGATGATCCTCATCCATTTGTTATTGTTTCTTTTGGAGTGTTGGTGTTCAATCCACTTTGGAATTGTGAAGATCGTGGTTAATTCAAATGATCTAAAAAGATGAAGGCTGATGACAGTGAGATCAGGAACAGTAGCACTCAACCCATGTGTTAGAAAGCATCTCTCCCATGAATTAGCTATTTCTCCCATTGTTGTCATCGTTTTGAGAAGGGCAAGGAAAACTTCTGGTACACCAATCCTAAGATATTCTGACAAATAGAACTCTCACCCACCTGTCATACTAATATCTCTGACATATTTGCTTGTCTATCAGATGTGGTCAAGGTGGGATCCTGCTTTTGAATGACTCCAGCCCAGAGGTCACGGACGAAATTCCCTTTGTAAGAGTGTCATTGAAGAGTTCTCTTAAGGTGGAGAAGGAGGACAGTGTGAAATTTTGCTGTTTCGCAGTTAATAGTGCTGGAAATGACTCCAGTTTCAATACATTATCTCTTGTCGTTATTGGTAACGGTAAGAGAAATCTAAACATTCATTTCATTAAAAAATTAGTTTTCATGGGATGTTTCAGTAGTGGCTCTAATTATGTGAATCCCCCCCCCC